TTGAAGGACATGTTGCGGTCATGTGTTATAGATTTCCATGTTAGGGAATTCAGCGATTCGGTAGACGGGGGAAACTTACCCCGAGATATGTTAGACAATTCAGGATTTTCAAGCGTGTTGGAGCAGTTTCATATAGACTAGATCTTCCAGCATCGATGTCGAGTATACACGATGTTTTTCGTGTTTCGATGCTTAAGAAGTGTTTACTTGATGAGGATTAGTAACGAGTATTAGACGCGCTGGAGATTTAACTCCATGATGATTTGACTACGATTGAGATTCATGTTCGTATTCTTGTTATGAGAAAATAAGAGACTTATAAATAAGGTGATTCCATTAGTCAAAGTTCAAATGAACCGGAAAGAAGCTAAGGAGGCTTTTTTGGAGCGCCGAAGAGGATATGCGTCGTGACTACCCACACCTGTTTGAACAGGTAAATTGATTTGATTATGATTTGCTTATAGTTTATGATGATTTGGATAGTCATATTTATATTTAACACTAGCATGAGAGTATTAACACTTAGCTCCTAATCATTCGGAATACATGGTATATATATGGGAGGTTCCTCATTTGGATTTTTCACCCGACGTACTAATTCTGTTTAGTTAGGCATTAAGTGAGAGTATTCGCATTCTAGATGGTTAAGTGTAGATATTGCTATATTTCGTATCTAGAGATTAATAATAATGCATTATTAATCTCTAAGATAAGATGCGGAATTTTGGGGACGGAATTCTTTTAAGGGGGGAAGAATGTAAAACCCCAAACATTAAATATTTTGTGATAAATAATAATAAATTTATTATACGTTGATAAATAACATATTGTGATGTTTGAGTATGCTAAGAATTGATTTGAGATCAATTCAATGTATATATGTATATATGAGTGCAAATACACAAAACATGCATGATGTATAAATCTGGAAAATAATGACCAGTCGAGAGATTTTATATTTTACAAACTGATACAGTGTGAATATGAAAAAACTTAAAAGACCAAAGTTGTAGGTCTCTTCAGCAGATTTCCAAAAAATCTTTAATCACCTCATTCCAAGGTCGGATACGGAATGAGGTCGGATATGAAAGTTATAGCCAAAATACCGAAGAGTATGTTTCTAGTCAGACTGGGTTTCCAGTTTCGGGTTTTGGGTTTTGGGCTGTATTTATTCGGGTTTGCTACCATATATATACATGTTTATACACGAAAAATACCGCTTTTCTTCTGTGTTCCAAACCCTAGTAACCCCTCTCCTCCTCTCTCAAACCCTAGCCCCAAACTTGAGTTATTGGGAGAGTTTCATGAGGCGAAAAGCAGGAGAAGGTGAGATTTGCGACGTTTGGCATCGAGGGATCGTTTGCTGATTGTTTCAGGTGGTTGTGCATATGATAATGCAAGATTATCTGTATTCAAACCCTTCTCTTAATAAAGATTAGACTTTTAATGGTTAAAGTGATGTTTTTCATGGTAAAGTTTAACTCGACATGATAAAGTTTAGATTTTAATAATAATTCTTTAAACCATGATAGATCTATAATAATTCCTTGCTGTTTATGATAGAAATATGGTCATGATTATTAGGGTTATTTATAATTTCGTTTTTAATTTATTAATCATGATTAAACCATGTTTAAACCCTAATTTTTCAATTAAATGATATTTTATATTGATTAGAGATGCTTAAAACCCTAGGTTTAGGGTAAAACAAGGTTTAAAAACGTGAATTGTTACATCAGTTTCAAGTTTCATACAAATATATTTATGTTAATTTTGTCGATAATTAGGGTTCTTGTAAAGAATTTGATTATTTGGGTTGTTAAACTTGATTAGGTTAAATCAAGTTTAAGTAAATCATGAGATATTTTTTTTGATATGTAGAAATAAAGTTTTTATCTTGTCATATGATTTATAAATGACAAAATTCATGTTTTTGATGAGTTAAAATTTTTGTAATTTCAAAACCTGAAAACCTGTTATGCTTCTGCACAGTCGACCGCGGTGGACTACGACGGTCGACCGCTGGACGGCGTTTTTGTACAGGAAGCTCTCTGTTTCTACGCGGTCGACCACGATGGACGCGACTGTCGATCGCTGGGTGATATTTTATGCAATGTCTTTCTACTCATTTCACGACGGTCGACCGTTGGACCTGTTTGTACATGTGCATATTGTTTACATGCGTTTGTGTGACCGGAGAGTTGTCTGGGTTATCTGGTATTTTAGTACATTGTAAATTGTGTATTATACACATGAGTTGATTATGGACATGAGTTTAGGATTCACTCACTGAGGCACGAGTATGAATAGTATATATGCATTTTATTTACATTATTTATTTGTATTACGCTCATCATATGCAGTCCTCATATTGGACATTTATCTATTGCGGCCCATGTGTTGGACCTTAATCATATGCAGTCATCGTGTTGGACATTTACCTATTGCGGCCTATGTGTTGGACCTTAATTATATGTCGTCCTCGTGTTGGACATTTATCTATTACGGCCCATGTGTTGGACCTTAATTATATGCCGTCCTCGTGTTGGGCATTTATCTATTACAGTCCATGTGTTAGACATTCATCATATAGTCCATGTGTTGGACACTTATTCGAGTTGTCTTATCTAATATGTAGCAGGTGAAGTCCATGTGTTGGACATGTATCTGATATCTGTTAGGACTTCTTTGATATGGTTTGAGATGTGGTTGTCTTTTCTTATTGCTCCATGTAGTAGCTTTTGGATTTGGTATTTAGCTATTCACAATTTGAGCTAACGGGATATTCGACATACCTATGCTCATGTTGTGGATTTCTAAATATCAACATCCATTTATTTCAGAGTAGATGATTGCTTATATGTATGTATTAACAAGTATTTTCCTTATATACGGGGAAAATGATCTAGGTAGACTATGCTTAATAGATAGAGCCTCCACTTTATTTAGTAGCCCTTCCCCGGGGGCAGATGGAAGTAATCTTTCTATTGCTCTGACGCTCTTATTGTTATCCTTTTATTTTATTTTATTTTAACTTTTAGGTGGCTCACAGCATCGGTGGGCCGCAGGATGACGGAGTTATTGCATAGTCACCGTCACACGAGTTACTAGTAGAGACTCCACAGTAGAGTTATTTCCATTCGGACATTAGAGTTTTGTATCACATTTTGTAAAGGCTATGAGCTTTAGTTACATTTTTAGTTGTTTCATGTCGAGACACATTTATTTATTTCTGATGTCGGATGTATTCCAGATTGTTTACTAATACATGATTTATTTATGAGATACTCCTTTCTATATCATGTCTGTCGTAATTATTTCCTTTCTTTTACCAGTTTTGTACCTACATTTTACTTTGATTCCACTAGAAGATATTACTGTGATTGATGAAACTTTTTGTTGTACAGTGTGGGTGAATAACAGGTTTGACATCTCTGGGTTCACCTTGGACTGTAGCTATATGTGAAAACAGGGGCGTCACACTAAACTTAACTCCTCCCTCGAACTCCTATCAAATTTTTTTTAAGGGGGAGAGCTAGCAGACTTGCTCTTGCTTGGTTGATCGAGGAGGACAAAATCATGGACACTCTCGCCGACCAGAGAGAAGCCCTCTCAAAAAGATTGCTCCTCTCCAAGGACCCGACATAGGAGAAAATCTTTGCCAGTTGCTGCCTCTTCTCATCATTAAGAAGTCACGGCCTTAGAACATCCTTAGCCACTTCGGGCCAATAGGGACAAGCAAGAACCCCATCGGTCCCGAAGACCCACACAAAGTGCTCCTTCCAATCCCTACTAGGCTCTGGAGCGCCTAACATGAGCTTAACATTCCAATTAAAGCAAAGAGAATAGTGTGTGTCCTCTTTCTTCGATTCGACACCGACCAATTGTCCTACCAGCTGTATGGTCGGCGAGACTCCTACCCGATGGAAAACAACAACAAAGCCCACCAGAACCCCGCTAGCATGGGGGTAAATTGAAAAGGGGAAACCCCCAAAGCAACACAAATATCCCTAATAAAGGGATGGAGCGGAAGCCATAGACCATGCTCAAGATGAGCAAGGTAAAGCGGCGCGCGGTCCCCGCCATGGTGATACACATGTTCACTCATACTCGGGGCCCCCAATGTAAAAGTCCTTGGGATGTCATAAAGAGCGTAATATGGTTTGAGCGTCCCTATCAAGACCCTCGAACGGATGTGCCAGAGAAGAGCAATTCTCTTCTCATTATGACCTACAATGGAAGCTGAGGAGGCCATTGAAAATTTTGCTTTGCAAAGTAAACTCGAGGAATTTCAAAGTAGCACCGAATTTTTTTTTGAGCAAGAACTCTAGAGAATTATTTTTCGCCCCTAACGAGCTATTTATAGAATTCAAAAGACACGTGGAGTTATTTGAACGTTTCCACGTGTCAAGATGAGCAGACGAGATTCAGGTTGAAATCTCAAACGGCTCACTCGAAACTCGAAGCGACGTTCCTATTTACTCCGCCCCTCTTTGCTTAAAAATTAGAACGACACCATTACGCTGACAGCTAGCAGCATCATTATGTCATCATTAGCAGTGACATTTTGTTGGTCTGATAAAGGCCTCTGGAAGCTCGCTAAACGATGTCTACTAGACAAAGTTAGCTGGGACTGATATACCTATCACAGCCAACTAGTTGACTTTGAGGATATCTCTCGGACAACTCGTCTAAGCTACTCAGATCCTAAGTAGCAAGAGCAGTTGATCAGACCGATATAAGACATGGATAAAATTAATCCTTCGAAGGCTGATTTACTCGAGTTTGAGACGTCTCCTCTCTATAGAGGCCGAGTAATCTTGGGTTAATGCTTAAGTCTACCATTCCACATTGAAACCAAGTCATCCGGCAAAAATTCTGAAATTATGCAACGCAAAGAAACAATTTCCAAAGCCAACTTCTCCACTTCGACCTGCACCTCAACACAGTCCTCCTCCTGGAGAACTTCACCTAGTTCCCTCAGCTACGTCTGTCCTGAAATGACTCTTCAGTCTTCATTCAGAGCACCCACGACTGCCCAAAGTGATTCTTTATCATGTTTTCACTCGGACCCAACTAAAGACGTCTCCAAGCGAAAGGGGCCAACTCTTATGGTATTCCCATTCGCCAAAATACAACTCCTCGTGAAACAACAGGCAGGTGTATTTCCACGAACAAAGCCCAAACTAGCTTGGTGGCCTAAGCCCAGTAGAGGTCTCACCTTGGCCGACTCATCAGGTCATTACTCTTTATGACGATTCGAGAGGCGGGATCAGTCGACCCTATTATTGAAATTGACTCGCCTGCAGCCTACTCGACCTTTTATACAAAACTCTATAAGGATGACTCCACAACGTTACTTCTCGGCCAAACTAGAGGATAATATCTGCCTCGGGCTTCTCTCTCTGGCAACGTGTCAGCACCACCACCAACTCTGGTCAGGTCCCATCATGACCCTAACCCCAATAGTCTCCATGACTTGTCACATCGCTTGGGCTTTGCCATGCTGCCAGATTATTCTCCATTCGATGTTGAGACGATCTATCTAATGCTGAAGTGATCTCTCCCTCAGTCGTCAGCCGACAGTTCTAAAGGAGGTGCTGACGCAGCCATCAGTCCATTCCTCGCCATTATTTCTCCATACTCAGCCAGAAATGCCCAATCTATCCTTCTTCCACTTTTAGAACCCTAAGTTCTATTCTCATTCAAGTTCATCAACTAACTTGATCGTTGGAGGTACAACGAGGAACTAATCCCCGCCCTCTCACGAATTTCTACTTGTGCAGATTTATCAGCTCCCCAATTCAAAAACTAGACATAAAGTCGGAGAAGAAGGCGATCCCTCATCAATCTCATCTACTTCATCAAATTGATCCTATACTGGATCCAATTGACTATGTGATCACTAGTACATCAACATCTACCATTTTTACAAATTTTATCCAAACTTAAATATTTGTTAAATTATCACCAAATCTCCCACGTTAATTAGGTTAATTGATATAACTAAAATACTTTTAATTAGGTTAATTGATATTGTTAATTTGTAACATTTTGTCCTTGCAAATACTAATGTTAGAAATGTAATTATTCGTCAACTTTATATAGTTTACAATATTATAGAAATTCCGGGGGTGTGATTAAAAAACATTTTGACAGTTGAGTAAATGTAATAAAAAAAATAAAAAATCAAGAGAAGTTTGAAGGGGGGCAGTTTCTAGCTCCTTCGTCGCTCTCTCTCCCCCAATAATCTCTCGCCCTCATTTTTGTCTCTTTTCATCCTCAAACCTTCAACAAAACAACAAACCCAATTCTCCGGCGAGAGAGCGGCGGCGTGCCGGCGAGCGTCGCCAAGCAAGCGGAGCTCCTGAAGGCCGACGGAAACACGTATTTCAAGAAGGAGCGATTGGGCGCTGCGATTGATGCCTACACCGAGGTTTAAATTGCTATGCCCCCCATTTGTTTAGGGTTTGAAATTTCTATTGGGTTTTGGTTGGATTGGACGATTGAGTGACCTGGGTTGGTTTTGTCCTGTCCTGGGGTCAAATGGGTTCCTTGTTATTGTTTTGATTGTTCCCCCTTTTGCTTAGGGTTAGAAGTTTGTGATTTTGTGTTGGGCATTTTGGCGAACGGTTGGTGGGTTTTGCTTGGATTGGACCGTTTAGGACTTGGGTCAACTTGATTCTTCTTTTGGTCAGATGGGTTTCTTTCCTCTTATTTGTTTTGATTGGATGTTTCAAAATTCTTTTGTATTGTTTGTATTTAATCGTTCCCCCCTCATTTCCATTTCAAATAGGGTTTATGTTTATGTTCTTGATTAGGTCATTGAATCTGCACGCAAGTATCTTTTTTGCTTGGTAGTCTTTTTGGGAATTGAGGTTTGAAAAGTCCCTATTTGCATTAAGTTTCATAAGAAGATAGGGGAGGTGAAGAAAATGAGTGGAGAGAATTTTGTAGTAATATTCGTGTGTTGTATATTGGCTTGTGTATGTATCCTCTTAAATTTATATAGAGAGTAGTATTGTCGTATATCCTATTATTAATGACCTTTCCCTTGTCTATTACTGATGGTCTTTCCGAAAGTTATCTATTTTCATGTCAATTAGTGGAGAAAATTTTGCCTTTTTTTTCAGTAGATGACGAGTCATGCATTTCTGTATGCTTACTCTCCTTTTTGGTTGCTTTATAACAGAAATTGAATCCCTGACTGCTGATAGTGTAGTTGGGCTATTAAATTGCTCTTAATGGTTCTTGTTAGGAGCCAAATCGAACTATCAACTATAGTATGGAGACAAGGGAAAGATCGGTTGTAAAATGCCAGGACCTTATGGCTTTTCAAAGGAGCAAAGTTTCCTGAGGCATTAAGGTGCAATTGAATTGGGGTCACGAGGTGGGTTAAACACTTAAAGAACAACTCTGAACTCTTAATTGTTTTTGGCCTATAAGATATGGCTCAGTGGGTTTAGCCCCTCAGAAGAGAAAGAGGGTTTAGATGACCTGCTTCAGAGTGTAAATCTCTATATGACGGTTTAGATAACTAGTAGAGTATTACAACTCATGTGTCCAATCATTGAAAACGAGATTCATTTCAATGCTTAAAACATACAAACAAATTTTATATTAACACCTCGAATAGTAATTTGATATAAGCATAAAAGTGGAAGGAACTAAGGTTAACATAAAGATGAAACTCACCGTACGTCCTCAATTTCATCAAAATAGGAGGACGGGGGAGTTAATGAGTTACACATCAGTAGATCTTTTATGTTGATTTTGTTCTCTATAATAATTCTCCAGGGTTCAAGCCATACATCACGGATATCCGCTGCAAATTTTGCTGAATTCGATGTCAATTATACATTTACTGCAAATAAACAGTTGCTGACTCTTCTTCCTATATAACAGTTTAAATAATAGCTGTTCAACGCAGGCAATCATTTTTCTTATAGAGCTGTTGTAGCTCATCAGCTATTTGTTTAATAGCTCTAAATGTTCATAGCAGTTCAATTTCTTGATTTTTTTTCTCTCTTTCTTATGATTCTTTTAGGCTATTGCGCTTGTTCCAAATGTGCCTGTGTATTGGACGAATCGAGCACTTTGCTTTCGGAGGCGGAAGTTTGTTCATTGATCCTTTCTTTCTCCCTTTTTCAAGTTTTTGAATTTTCTTAATGATGTCTATTGGACTTTGTAGAGAGTGGACAAGAGTTGAAGAAGATTGCAGAAAAGCTCTTGAACTGGACAGCAGCTCAGTCAAAGTATGTCTCATGGTTTTTCAACTCCATATTTATTGTGTAGTTCAGTTGGTCTATAATCTTTTAGTTATCCATCTGCAGTATTGATTCTTCCAGCTGTCTTTTAGTTTTGTGTAAGTATTTTTCATGCAATTATGCATACTTGGTTGGGTTTTTGAGGATTGTTTGAGTAGAGTTATATTATAAATCTCATGCAAGATATCTGCACTATATGTACTTTGGTCGCATTCACTTTTGAGGATTGATTCTTCTCATCTATCTAAATATTAATTAACCGTGGTAACATCTTTGTCTGCTACTTTTCTATGAACCCTGCCCCTTGTGTCCATGCGCAAGGCTTGGTTGTAGTTGGTTAACGTACTTGTGAGTTGTGAATTTCAAGATATAATTATGTACAGTTTTGAAGTTTCTTATATTGAAGACAGTCGGTTTAGTAATGAAAGATAAAACGTGCCCACACTGCTCATTCAAAGAAAAGAAATGAAAGATGCTTGTGTGATCTATTTAGTTATATAAAAGACCTTTTATCGATCCGAAGGTTCTATCTTTCTTATTGGCAGGCTCACTATATGTTGGGGATTGCATTGCTAGAGCGAGAAGAACATGCTGAGGGAATAAAGGAATTGGAGAAGGTTAGTGATTATGTTCTCACTATAGACATTACTACTCTCTCTCTCTCTCTAATATCACTCTTTTTCTTTTCATCTCTTAATATAATGCTTTCTAAGTTCGTATTATGATGTTTATTACAAGTCAGAAATTTTAGCAGTGAAAAAGAAAACAGATAGCCCAATCTTACTATAAGATCCTTAGTTACTTTTTTGGAGGCAGTGTGTTCTGTAAGGCCATAACTATCAGAAAAAGGTAGATACAGTGCTTTTTCAAGAAAGTGCAGGCTTCCACGTAGATAAAATATTAAGAAGGAAAATGAAAACTACCTGTTTCTATTTTTCTGATTCCTAAAGGACCTCATGGATGCTGGATGAGCAGTTTATTCCAGGCTAACTTTATTCTAGGTTCGTTCTTGCTATTATCAATTTTAGTTTATTAAAAATAGTTTATATAATTTCTTAAACATAGGCTTTCGATCTTGAGAGGAGTGCTAAACGCCCAGGTCATCTTGTCGAGGAGGTGTGGTCAATTCTTGCTAAAGCAAAGTATGAGGAATGGGAACGTGAATCTAGTGAGAGGTCGTGGACATTGCAGAAATTGAAGTAGGTGATTACATTTCTTTTTTTTCTGTGTTGAGTTAATTGCTTTCTGAGATGCATTGTTTCTTTTGTTGAGTTAATTGCAACTATACCCCCTGTACTATGAGGGTGTAGCCACTATACTTTGGATGACATTATTCTGGTTGGTTGGGATGTCATGTGGGAATTGTCTGATGATAAATTACTTTTTATCCTTGGTTAAACCGAAAAAGACTAAACTGCCCTCTAAATGAGAGCCAATAAGCAACTTGTCTGGGGCTTAGACAATGTAAATGCTAATAAAATAGATTAGGGAGATATAAGTTGCTACACCAGCACAAGACAGTGGGTATCTGTAATTAACTCTACTTTGTTGAACTTATTCATCTGAACTTGAACTATTTGGTTCACTTATTTCAGAGATGATTGTGAAAAGGCTTTACTAGAGCACCGCTTTCTCGATGTTTCTGAAGATAAAGATGAAGTCAAAGATGCTGTGAATGATCACTCGAAACAACTTGAGCTCCTGAAGGATGTTTTTAGTAAAGCTGCAGATAATGACACACCAAAAGAGGTTAGGGTACAGTATTTTTCTAAGTGTAAGCATTTATGGCAGCTTGGTGATACAATTTTACTTCTTGGTCGAAATGTCAGGTACCAGACTACTTATGCTGTAAGATTACCCTTGACATATTTCGGGATCCTGTGATCACCCCAAGTGGTGTTACTTATGAAAGGGCTGTGCTTCTTGAGCATCTTCAGAAGGTAAACTCTTCCCATTTCTATGTTACAGTGCCTAGAGTTCTGCTGCAGTTCCTTAGATTAATGTTTTTAGGTTTTTTCAAGTATTTGTCCATTTAATCTTTCATATGTTTCAGATACTGAAATTGCTATTTAGTCCCTCAGTTCATATAAGTTACTCAAAATTAGTACCTCTGTTAGTTTTTCCATTCAATTTCTTAACTCCGGTTGGGTTAGTGTTTAGTCCACCATAGAATGTTACTGTTATACTTATTTCGTTTCCCTCCAAAATTTCCCTCACAAGAGTAGAGAACCATTGGAAAAATGGGTTTGAGGAAGAAGATGGTTCTTGAGGGGAAGAAGAAATAAATTTGGGTTTGGTTTGGGGTTTTAACTGGTTTAGGTTAGAAACAGGGTATGGGTTTGAATATAAACTTAAAAGAAAGGGGTATAGCTGGACCAATACATTCCTCCCAACCCAAATGGCAGCTTTACTATGGAGACTAACTTGGAATAATTTATGCGAGTTGGGGGATTACATAGCATTGTTTTGAGGGAGTAATTTATAAATATCGAATGTTCAACGTTTCTTAGCATTCTCAGGTTTGTGCCGTGGATGCAGGTGGGCAATTTTGATCCGATTACAAGAGAGACCCTCGAAGTGAGCCAATTGGTGCCTAATCTAGCCATCAAGGAGGCAGTTCGGTCGTTCTTGAATGATCATGCCTGGGCCTATAAAATGAACTGAGGGTTGCCCTTTATGTTGGCTTGTTCTTTTCATTTTCATACTTAATTCATACTTTTGTTGTTGGTTGTGTTTCCTTTTTTGTTTTCTCCTTGATGACTTTTTATTTTGAGGGGTTGTTTGTACAGAGAAAATGTTGTTTGTTTGATATATATTGATATATGTGTGTACGGTGTGATCATTCATCTGTAAGGGGAAAATACCTCCGGATGATTGTATATGGTTTCAAAAGGGTTTCTGTTTGCGTCTACTTTAAATTATATGATTGCATTGTTTCTCATGAAAATGTTTTCTTAGTTTATTTTGTATATGTTACGTATCTCGTCAATGCATCATAGACTCAAACTTACTGACCTTTCGACGTAGTAAGAAAGGAATAAGTTGGAGACCATTATGAGAACTGGAGAAGGTAAAATTAAGTACCGTGATGCATTACATTAACAACTGATTAATGCTTTTCTAGTGTTTTCCCTTCTCTTAGGTGGTGTGTGTTTCACTCATTTTGTGGAAAATGAATAGGATTTGGAGCTGACAGTGACAAATCGTAATTTGTGGATTCTTTATCAATCATAATCTTGAGTTTGGCTCAAATTTTTTTTATAGATTTCAAAATCGATAAAGATGCAATAGAATGAGTTTTTTTATGGAAACCCAAATCCAAGCTTTTTGAGAAGATTAGGGTTGAAAAGCGGACATCGGCCATTTTGGGATTCCATCTCTTCGCGAACCTTAGATTTGAAATCAGCAACTCCCCCTATTCTTCTCCCGCCTCTTCTCTTCGCGCCTCCTCTCCCGCTGTTCTTCGATTTCCTTTTCGAAGACAAGACGTAGCCATTGTTGTCAGGTTTTGGACTAATCGAACTTGACATTCGGTTCGCGGGGTCGATTTCTGTTGGTGGGTTCGGTGGGTTTTGTTGGCTTCGGCTTCTCCCGCGAATCTTTGTCCCACCTCATCTTTTCGATTTCTTTTTAGAAGATGAGGCTCGACGCTAATTTGTCGGTGATTCCTGTCGGTGGGGTTTGTGGGTTTGTTCCGTTCGGTGGGTTTGTTGGCTTTGGTGGGGTTGCTGCATTGATTTCTGAATTATCCCATTGGCAACTGCAAGTATAAAACTTTTTGCCCTTTTCCTGTGATCGTTTCATTGTGCTTGATCTAAAGAAATGAACATGGGTAGTAGAAAGCGCTAGTTTTGACAATTTATTACATGTCTAATCTCTCGTGAAACAAGGGTTTTGTTACATTGTTGATTACTGATTTTCGGTCCTCTGGATTTTTTGTTATTGCATTCCTTCAAACGACTAAACCATGAACTGAAAACCTTAATTTTATTTGGTTGATCAGCGTGCATGCTTAGGGTGCAAAATATGAAATAGTTGTTTCATTACTTGATATAGATTTGACGATAGGTATAGATATATGGTTTTAAGATTTCAACATTTTTATTAGTTATTTAATTATTTTTAATCTTCAAACATTATTACTATTAAGTTGTAAATATATGCTACTTTTACAATGGATATAGATGGATAATGTAGATGAAGAACAATTGAAGAGGATGTGTGCTAATACAGATGTTTTTGCTATGGTCACGATAATAACTTGTATTCTGAGAATGCATACTAAGCACAAAGACTATATCATCTTGTACGAAGGAAGAAAAAAATCAAAAAAAATTATTGCAGAGAAGCTCACTTCAAACGTGTATTGAAAGGCTATAGTGATAGTTGTCGATCTTATATTAGAATGAGACCGAGTGCCTTTTTTAAACTTGCTGAAGTAATGAAAGCAAACGGTTTTATTAAAGGATACCAGACATGTTCAAGTCGAAGAACAACTCGCTATGTTCCTAAGTATAGTGAATCATAAAACTAAAAATAGAATAATAAGGACCGAGTTCATAAGATCGGGAGAAACAGTTAGTAGGTATTTTAATAAAGTTCTACAAACAATGAATGTGTTACGTGATCGCTACATGAAGCAAGCTCCAAATGAAGTTACTATGGAGATTGCAAACAACCCAAATTATTTTCCTTACTTTAAGGTAAAAATAATACATACATCTCAACATCTGTTTTAAATAAATAGGTATTTTATTGAATATTGTATAACTTATATATTTTTATAAGATTACATTGGTTTGATAGATGGCACACACGTTGACGTAGTGTTACCCAGTAACCTAGTTGCACGTTTTAGAGGGCGAAAAGGTGTGACACAAAACGTCCTAGCAGCTTGCACCCCCAATAAACTATTCACCAATGTCCTAGTTGGGTGGGAGGGAGTAGCAAATGACTATAGGATATTACAAGACGCTTTGTCGAGACCACAGCTTTACGGGATTCGAGTTTATGATGGTATTAATTCTCACTTATTCACATTTTTAATAAAAAATTAAATACCTTTCAATAGTTGAGATCTTAAGATACTGTTCTATTTAATGTAGGTAAATATTACCTATGTGACGCTGGATACACCACAATGTCAAGCTTCATATCTCCATATCGCGGTGTACGATATCATTTAAAAGAGCACACTGGTAGGACACCAAAGAATAGAAAAGAGTTATTCAATTTAAGCCATTCATCTTTAAGATCAAAAATTGAATGCACATTTGGTATATTGAAGAACCGGTTTAAAATTCTATCGGCGAAGCCAAATTATCAATTTCCCACTCAAGTGGACATTGTACTAGCGTGTACAGTGTTGCACAATTTTATTGCCTTAGAAGATCCAGATGATGATATTTTAAATAAAACTGTAGAAATTGATGAAGATAATGGGGAAGTGACAAATAAAGACGATTCAAGTGTGGTGGATTATACTCAAACTAGGACACAGAGAGAGGATCGAGATGCAAGAAATGAATGGAAGGAGCTACGAGATCAAATTGCTTGGGTGATGTGGGTGGGTTATTGTGCAAAGTATAATGGTGGTAACACAATTTGGAGAGTGGATTAACTTGACGTGTTGGTTGTTCTATCTCGATGTAATAACTTGTCTTATGTTTCTTACTGTTCGCAACTACCCATTTTAATGTTTCTTAGCTTGTACTAAACATTATTACTATTATCATCTACTCTCTTTTCATGTTGTCTGAGAAATGTAGGTTTCATATATTCCTTTTCTTACTTGTTTGATAAATGCATGCATATCATATATTGATTTAGATTCCATTAATAATAATATGTCTATGTTTACAATATATATTAGGTATGGCTAACAATCAGGCAGATAAACAGACCGTGCCTTCTCATTCCAATGCAATTCCAAATCCTACAGCTAGCATTAACATGAACTTCATGCATGTTCAACCACAACCTTTTAGTTCATCCCCTCATACATTCTCACCATTCCCACTATACGATAAAAATTATGGTGGAATGACACAGCAGCCAATGTCATACGTAAGCATGTTAAGAAGTCCACAAGGTTTGCTACTTTCCACAGTCAGTTCTCAAAATAGTGGACCTAATCAATTCTCACCAAATACTGGTGATTCAGTTGATGGTGAGGAGCACACTTCCCTAATGAAAAAAGGGAAATTTTAGCTCATAAAAAACCTAACCTAGGGGCAAGGTTGAACTTAAGAGGTGTGGCTAATAAGTTTTGGCTTCCAGAGCATGATGATGTGCTCATTCCTTATCTTACAGAATTAGCATTAGATGGACTAAAGCCAAACAAGAACTTCAAGATAGAAGCTTATAAAATGGTAGCCACAAAAATCAACATGCAATTCAGGACTGATTTCACTCATCTACATGTCATTAACCACTTGAAATGCTTGAGAAACAAATTCAATAACATGAAGGCTTGCCTTGATATAAGTGGAGCTGGATGGGATGAAACAAGTTAAATGATTACAATAGTGGTCGTAGGATATGGATCTCATGACGTGGCACACTACGCTTCTCGTAATCAGGGATGGGGTAGGATTGGCTCGTAGCATTTTTAAAAGCTTCAACCGTCATAAACCAGTCGTAGAATTGGTAAACATCCCTCTTCATAAACATAATGGTTGCACATGCATGTTTGCAAGGGATACGAGTTACATCCCACGCACGGGACGTGCATGTTTTACGGTCAAGATCCACTTGAAAAGTTTTATGGGATTGTACCTCAAATAATCCTCTATGGGATTGACGCACATCCAATGGACACCTATTTTCCATGTTCTCTTTAAGGACAAGCTTAGCTTTGGGACAAAAAAATTAATTCCAATTTTCAGCCATGACTCGTCGCTTATTCATGTGAATCATAATTTGTTTACGTATGTGATCTACCAGTTGTAGTATCTGCAGAAGTCTAGCCTCATGTATCTACTTGTTGAATGACTCTGTAACATTTGATTTGTAACGTGACCATATCTGAAACATAACAAGGAATTCATCACAATTAATAGGAAGTTCTACCGCCGTAGCATTCACGTCTAATTTCATTAGGAAAACGACAATTGAAATAAGAAATGAACTAGCTTATGTTAAATGACTTATAATTTACCCAATTCCAGGGAAAAACGTGTTTGCCTAGTTCTCTAGAGCGTAGTTCATGACAATATTATATGCCCGTTCGTCAATCAGTTTAATATCATCCATATAATCATTCCATTCTACTTTAGTATATTTGTAACAAGCTGATTGCAACAGATTCCCTAAAATCTGAGTATCCTTTGCCTTTAGTCCCAAATATTTCAATTTTTTCCTGAAATTCTCAACTAGATGTAGAACACATCTAGAGTGTATAGCATCTGGAAAAAATTCTCTAACTGTTTCTCTAATTACCTTATACGCATCTGATATTATAACTAGCTTATGTGGAGGGTTGTATGGATCTGACCTTTCATAGAGAATAGACCACAAACCTATAAAGAGTTGCATTTAACATATAAGAAGTTAGAGTTAACAAGCAACATGTTGCAGTTAACATATAATTCATTAGACTTAGCTTGCAACTAAATAGACTTAACATCATAATTATAACATAACAACATAAATAAGTATAAAGATAGCCTTTCAGAGAGCATTGAACACAAACCTTGTAAGAACCACTTCTAGTTAATATTATTTTCTTGATCGCGTATGCAATAGGCTAATGGAAATATCCCCTGATTTTCATCGTATGCTACAGCGCTGAGGAGTAAACCTTTGAATCGATCTTTCAGAAAGGTCCCATCCAAAAATATAAGTGGCCGACATCCATGTAAAAACCATTTATGCAGGCGGCATAGCAAATGAATAGCCTAGTAAACATAC